ATAGGTCCTGGGAATTGATTCCTGGTTCTCTCAAGAATAACAAGTGCTCTTAGTCACTCAGCCATCTCTCCAGTCCCCAATACTGTTCTGGTACCCATTATAGAGATGTGGAAACTGTCCTTCCAAAGACTACACAGCCTGTAATAAAGTAATTGAGATGGGTTTACATCTGGATTCCAGAGCTGCCTTTTTGTTATGTAGTAGGTAGCTTCCCACTTTTGTGTTTGTCACATGATAGGAGAGCTGTAGGCAGGCAGATGGCAGTTAGGGTGAAGGATTCTCCAAGATTTCTCCTGGAGTTTCAGAAGAAACAAACTGCCGACTAGCTTATGTCATGCACCTGATACTCCACTCTTACCTCCAGTGGGTTACAGTTGTAATGTGGGGATTCAGTTTTAATTTTACCACACTAATATCTGTGTGGAGGAATAATTACAACTTTGAAGTGCAGTGTAGTGAGAAGTAACCAGTTTCTATTAAAGATTGCTCAAGCAGTGAGTAAGTCATTAAATTCAACTCCTGATGATTGTTGATTGCTTAATATCTGTCTGCCAGGAGACACACACAGAGATATATGTCACTAGAGATAGATAATTGGAGCTGATTTTACAGAGAAGTAATGTTTTGGTTTTGATTTTGACAGTGAGAAGTTCAGGGCATGGTTTATATTGTCATCTGTTTGCATCTCTCCAACAAAAGAGTAAGCGCCTTTTCAATAAAATATTGAAGAATCAAGTTCTTATCCGAAGAGATCTGGAAGTACTTATTCCCAATTTTCAGAAAATAAGATCTTCTAGCTACATGTGCTATTTTTTCTAAGAAATATAAAACAAAGTCAGGTAACCCCTTGCTTCCTTCCTTCTTTCTTGCCAAAATGGTATATGTCCTTTATGGCATTTAATGTTTATCAGATTCTTCTGAGTGTGTGAGTCATGTTGACTCATAGTCAGCAACCCTTAGCAACACTAAATGTCTGCTTTGTCTTAGCGTGGTAATTCACTAATAAAATACATGGTGTTGAATTTGAACAACTACACGTATGGTTGTTTCTGTCCAGGCATGCTTATTTGTAGCTTTGTAGAATAGAAAAATTAACCTGATCCCACAGTTTTTATTTTATTTGTTTAGGACAAAATTTCAGAAAATAGCTTGGCCATGGACAGAGCTGTTCACCCGAATCAGATAGGCAGGTGGAAAGAGTAAGTAGGCGACATTTGTTTTGAGGGTGTGCCTCCCTAGTGTGTGTGCACACATGTCCTACTTGTAAAGGTAAAGAGGCTTTATTGATCGATAAGGGAATATTTGGACCTATTCTGGACAGTAGAGAGATGTCTGGGAAAAGACCTTATAGCTGAGATCGTGGGGAGCTTTCAGTAGGGCACATCAAAAAGACACACAAGGAGCGGTGGTCGCCTGTGTGTGGTTTGCTTGGAGAGACAAGGAGGGCAAACCTAGACTTTGATGTTTGTTTCACTGAAGGCAGTTCTAGTGAAGACTGAGAGATCATGAATGACTTTCAACTCTACTTCCCAAACCTCTGCAGCACAGCCACCTGCGGTTAGGGAAGGCCCTGTGTAGAGTAGTTGGTCTAGAGTTGTGGCACTTCCATCCGCCCTCACTAATCTGGTCGTGGTCGGCAACAGCAATCGGGTTGGTCTATTGATCCTAACCAGGTGGACTCAGCCATGCCATGATAAAGAACTGCTTCCCCTCTGCTGTTGCTTTTAAACCCGTGACCTAGAAAATTATACTGAGCAAATAGGTGTGAATCGACCCTAGACAGTGTTGGTACTGAATGGGGAAAATGTCTCATGCTCCCACGCTGTGCCACATCAGGACGCCATATTGCCATGCTTACTTCTGGAGTTTTAGCCACAACCTGGAGTCATTCCTACTCGAGAGTCCATCTCCATAAAAGCAACTTAATTCGTCTCCTCTCTCCCTTCTCAGCTCTCTCTCTTCTTTTTGCCGTGGTCTTTCACATTCAGGACAACTGGTAGCAATGGCCACTGTTTGGCCTTCAGACTTTGTTCCTGCCTCAGTCATCATCTTCCTCTCATTAAAGTCTCATGAATTTTGTTTGAAGTTGAGTTTCATTCTAGCACTAAGCCCCCCATTCCTGCTTCAATGCTTTTTCAGCGCTTCAAAGCAGAGAATAGTAATAGTTACTGCTGTTGATGCATTTTAACATTGAGCAACAGATGACGTGTCTAATGAATAGCGTGGCTGCCGAGATTGCATAATTATAGGTTCGTCTGACTTTAGAAGAACCATAAGCAGGCCAACTTCATCCGGTTAGAGACTTCTCCAATTATGTAAGCATCAGAAAATCCCAATCTAAAATGAAGCCCTCTTCCAGTGATTATACTATTCTTTGTTTTCCTGGAGTTTTCCTGAATAGGAAAAAACAAAATGAAACAGAAACTCTCTTCAAGGAAGTGGTTGTTCTGTGACTCTTCCCTTACCGAGTCCCACTTGGTCTGTTAGGTGGTACAGGCTCCAGTGGATCTGTATAGTGTTAGAAACAATGCTGATCGGTGTGGCCCGGTAGAGGTATACAACAGCCTCATGCTGGCTTGCTTACAGACAGCTAGAATTTTATAATTCAGAGCAGGGATTATCTGTGCCCTCTGGACTTGGCTTGCTGGGGTGGAGGTGGGGGACATACTTCAGCTAGTTATTGTGCTTACTTCTTGGAACAGTTTCTTAATCAATGTGCCAGGTGACAGGTTCTCCCAGAGGCCTTAAGTTCTCCCCATGGGGCTTCTCAATGTGTATATTGGCTTGGAAGTCAATGTTCATATATTTCATGTGGGTTTATTCAATTACTGATAGAAAGGGCTGAGTCTAATAAGTTCATAGGATGGCATATTGAAGACATTTCAGTATCCTGAGCCTCTCCAGACCATGTTTGGTGAGGGGAGTGCAATTAGATATATGGGTAATAAAAATTATTTCTAACCCTGAGTGCTGCTTAGAAGCATCTCTGCCCCCAGGTTCTTTGTAGGATTCTGGTTCCCTCTGACCTGTTCTCTGTATTCTCTCTGTTGCCTCACAGTCGGTTTTAGCAGCTTCCATCTGTGTGGTTGGTTGCAAGTACTCTTAGACTAGCGCATCCTGGACTTTTGAGTGGCTGAGCTTGGCTGGTGTTTGTTGTCCTAGATAGCACTGGAAATTCCTGTGAGGATGGGAAAATTCTCTATTTTAATTCTATAGAATATCAGGTTGGACATTTCCAGATTTAGGAAATAGTGGTCCTAGGAGAATTTAGAAGAAAGATTAATTCTACAACTTTTTTAGGTCTCAAAAATACTAACGCACCATTCTTACCCATGGAGAAATGTAAGAAAGGCACAGTTGTTTATGGTGCCAAGTATGAAGTGTAGCTGTGTGAAAATAAATTAAGCAGATAGTCTCTTCTAGGTTGGTATAATTTCGGAGCAGATGGAATTTGAGCTCAAGTCTTGAAGGAAGGATGTGCAGATTAAATCTGATAAAGAATCTTAGGAAAGGCTCTGTGAAAATATGTATGTGTGTACGTGTGTGCATGAAGTGCATGTGCGTGCTTATGTGTTGGGTGGGGAATGTTGAAATGTGGCAAATGTACGCTAGGCTGACCTCGTATTCCTGAGTGCTGGGGTTACCTACCTGTGCCACCATACCTGGCTAAGTGTGGCAGTTTTTAAAAGATGTATTTTACCTTTAATTATGTATGTGTGGGGTTGGGTGTGTGTTGACTGAAATTTCTGTCCTGCCTGGTCCTGCAGTCATTCAGTCCCAAAGAATCACACAGAGGTCTACATCAATTATAAACCAATTGGCCCAGTATCTCAGGCTCTTCTTATTGACTAATTCTTATAACTTATATTAGCCCATAATTCTTGTCTGTGTTGGCCACGTGGCTTGGTACCTTTTCCAGCAAGGCAGACACATCTCGCTTCCTCTGTGGCTGGGTCACAACTGCAGAATGCTCTTTCTTCTTCCCAGAATTCTCATTACCCTGCCTCTACTTCCTGCCTGGCTACTGACCAATCAGCATTTACTTAAAATATAAGTGACAGGGTATAGACCATTATCCCACAGCAGGTGTGGAATGGGGAGAGCTTTTGTGCATGTGAGTGCAGGTATCCAAGGAAGTCAAAAGAGGTATCCGAGGAAGCTGGAGCTACAGGTAGTTGTGAGAGCTGGGAGCAGAACTCAGATCACAGAAAGAGCTGTGTACTCTGAAATGTCTGAGCCATCTCTAGCCCCTAGGTGGGGCAATTTTGATGGTTGAAATATATGGTGTAGAATCCAGCGGCAATCCAGATCCTCTGGATGGTGGGTTTCTTTTTCCTTCTCCAGTCTACTCCCAGCCAAGTTATAGTAAGCATCAAAACCCAAGGAAGGAAGTATGACTGCAGATAGCCTTAGCTAAGGCTCCAGAGCCCAGAGGATGTCTGGAGGAGCTGAGAACTGCAGTTGAAGAACAGTGTAGCCTGAGAGGTGGGAACATGAGAAGGGATGAAGACGGTGATCCTGAGAACAGAATTGTGGAGAACACAGCTGGAGTGGCTTGGAGCTTTTCTCCAGATGTGCTGCAGAAGGGCAACAGAGAGGCCAGAGCTCAGAATTGAGGATTTTTGTGGTTCATTTTGTTTTCTTAATCTTTAATCCTCTTTTGTAATAACAACATAGCCGATCTGTGTATGTGTCAGATGCAGCAGGCTGGGGAAGGCACAGAAATTTGTCTTGTTCTACAAGAGGACAGAGGCGAGGAAAGAAAAGCAAGCTGTTACATGAGATAGGCAAACAACCCCTCACCCAAATCACTCCCAATCCTTGGAAAGTTCTGGATAGGGAGGGACATACAAATAGGCAAAGTTGATTGTTGAAGAGATTTTGAAGAAAAATGCAGTACTTTTACAAATTAGCCCTTTGGAGATTATGTCATTTGGACTTTTTCCAGATGTGGCATTTGGAGTGGAAAATAATATTCACAACTTCTTTTTCTCTTTCAGCTGAAGTGAGCAGTGAATACAGTATGGATAGGGCCATGGTTGAATTTGCTAAAATGGATCGAGAGCTAAACCATTATGTTAAGGCTCTCCAGTCTACGATAAATCACGTAAGTCTCTTCCACTTCCCTGAATATTTGCTTACAGCCCTCTGCTCTAGAAATGGAAACAAAATCAAAATTCTTTTCTACCCTTAATATCTCCTTGTCCTTACTGAAGCAGCTGTTGATCAGGACTCTCAAGGAGCAGGAATCTGTAATATTTTCCAGCAAGGCACCTAGGCTAATTAGCATGTGAAATACATTTTACATTGTCTTGCATTTTTGTTTGAAAACTTTTAGTGTAAGCCCTCTAAAATGTGAGCAGATTTTCACTAAAACATTGAAAGTGTATACAGCTTGTTTCTATTGTCAGATTTGCTTAAGCATATAACTTAGACCAGGTTTGGTTACTTGTTCTCTAGCTTTAACTAATATGCATCGCTTGCAAGATTTTTAGTATCAGATAACATTTAGAGAAAGTTTAAAAATAAAGAAAGTTGGCATTTGGGTTGTTCCAGAGGCCAGACTTCTCTCTGCTGACTCCAGCTGTCACAGGAACAGCACAGAAAGCAGTTAAGGTGGGAAGGAAGCAACATCCTCTTTGGCAGTGCTGTGTTGAGTAAGAAATGAGCAATAAGATTGCAGTAATGCTTCTGAGAAGTCCTTTGTCTCTGAGCCACGGAACCTCCCCGTTGAAGTGATTTCGGATACCTGTGTAATAAGGTGGCTTGCACTTCTGGTTTCTTTATTTGCCTTTTCTTCTCATGGCTATGGGAAAATTCCAAAGAGCAAGTGTTTAACAAGACCAGTACTATTCAGATGAAGATAAAATTTTATGTGTTGTCTAATACTTAAGCCACTGAAATGAGCATTAAATACAGGTTTTTTTTCCCCCTGTTTTTGTATGGCTAGTCTTTGGTATAATATAACTGTGATTGAGAATAGTAATAACTCATTCAAATTGTAAAGTCAAGTGTTTTTTGCTATTATAACTTAGGTTTAGTCCTCTGAATAAGTTTTGTTTTGTTTTGTTTATTTGAGGTAGGATTTCTCTAGCCCTGGCTGTACTGGAACATACTCTGTGGACCAGGTTGGCCTCGAATTCACAGAGATCTGCCTGCCTCTGCCTCCCAAATGCTGGCTAACACCACTACTGCTGGCTAAAGGCTTGCTTGCTTGTTTATTTATTTGTTTGAGTAGCAGCTGGGGAGGGGCAAGGGCAGCCCAGCCCTTTACAAATAACAGCAATCTAGGGATTGGAGGAGATAGTTCTTTCACTTCCTTAGTTAGCATCCTTGGTCAAGAGTTATTTCTGGAACCTTATGGTCTTCATTTCATCACAAAAGCATTTTCACAGTGCTGTTCTATGGACCATATTAGAGACTGTGTATCAACACAGTTGGGCCTCCATAGCGCTCGCTGGAGCTATCAGATACTGCATCGCTTCACTCCCAGGTTTCTAAAGAACACCTTGGGAAGGCGGAGCATACGCTTCCTGAAACATAAATACTTTGTTTAGTTAACTGCAGTTTTGGATACTTTTCATGATCTTGTTCTACTTTAAAACTCAAGAGATGCAAGATAAGCTTATTAGGTTAACATACTAAGTGTTCATGGTCTCTAAAATGAAGTTGTAAGTCAGGCTGGTAAGAAATACAATAGATGGTGGGAACTTTGGGTCCCATCTAACCTTCTTCTGTCAAGGATTTTTGAAGCCATAATACTTCCACTTCGGAGCTTGTTCCAAATGTGGCTCATGATCTTTCTGTTCATGGACTTTTGCATAGTCACAGAAAAGTTTTAAAAAGACATTGCTTCACTCATTACAGTGCTTATCACTTCAACAGACAGCTTTTCTAGTCTACTTTCCCCTTAGAATTTGGAACTCATGCAACTTGGGAAGTTTACTGTGGGATCTTAGCTGTCTGGGTTAATTTACCAGTAATTCCCTGGGAAGTCCTGTTAGCAGTTAGCAGAAGCGCTCAGATTGCCTCCCTCTGTCCTGTGAGAAAATAGGATCGCTATATCCCGTAAGTCTGAGGTTTAATTAGGAATCAGTGTTCATTTCAGTGGCCTAAAACCTAAAGGCTTGAAAGGACCTAAAGGGAAAAAAAGGACCTTGTTTTAGCAAGTTTGTTTGTAGAGGGAATATTATGTTGTGAGTACTACAAAAATGGCCAATTTCTAAAACATTTATAAAACTTTCAGGATGAGTGGCTTTTATGCCTATGAGTTATTTGGATGGAGAGCTTTGGTCATGAGACCACGCGTGTTATAAACGTGTTGTGAAAGGTATGAAATGGTACACTGATAATGATACCGAAGTGGTATAGGAACTTTCTTTATTACAGTTAACTGCCCCGGAAAAACCCATCTCCCATCTCGTGTGGAGACAGAGTGATGGTGATGTTCTTAACATTAGATTTCAATGGCCCCGCCAGTCCTCCCTAGCTTTCTGAGTTGGTACTCCACTGGCTCTTTCCCCCCACAAGTCTAATGAATAAGTGTGTACCGCACACCTGTCTGCCAAGCACTTGGTGATGGAGGACATCGGAAGTCACTGAGCGAGAACCACATGATCTTGATCTTTATGTCTTAAGTCTAGAGCAGAAGACAAACATTTAAAAAAGAGCAATAACTGTTATTTAATTACTATCAGTGTGTGTGTGTGTGTGTGTGTGTGTGTGTGTGTGCTACAAATGGAAAACAGAGCACTGTGGGCAGTTTAATGACTCGAGGCATAGTATCTTTGATGGTTGGCTAGAAGACTCCTTCCTGAAGAAGGGATGTTTCTGAGAAGAGTGGATTGGCTCTTAATATGGAGAGTGAAAGGTAGCTAACTTCTGAGTGTGGCATTTGTCAAAAGCGAGAGCACCTTATTTGTAATGGTCTTTATTTTTTTTACTTATTTATTTAATTGAGAAAATCTCATATAGCCCCAGACATTTGAACTTGCAACTTGTGGGATTCCAGATGTGTACCACTGCGCCTAGACTTATGGGATGGTGAGAATCGAACTCTGAACTTCTTCGTGCATGCAAGGCAAGCACTCTACTAATTAAGCTACATACCCTACCCCCATTTCTGATCATCTTTGTTTATGTATTTATTTTTTAAGATGAATGTAGTTTTTATTTGTGTGTATATGTGTATGCCTGTGCCGGTTTATGTGTACCACATGCACGCAGGTGCCCATGTAAACCAAAAGAGGGCATCATATCCCCTGGAGTAACCGCTGGTTGTAAACTGCCTGGTTGGACCAGAAACTGGGTTCTCTGCAAGAACATTAAGTACTCTTAACCATCACTGAGCTGAGCCATCTCTGTAGTTCCTTCTGATGGTCTTCACATCAAAGATTCAAGGGCCTTGGTCATTTCAAATTCTAAATTTCAGAAAAGCAGACGACCATGCCTACCCTCAAAGGTCAGAACCTGAAGTACAGCGGTGGCATAACCTGCCAGACGTCAGTGATAGAGCTGCTAGCAGAATTTGAGCTGACCCCTGCCAGGTACTCTGCCTGGCAATGCATATCATGCCAGTGTCAGATTTAAGAATAGTTTAATTACTATGATTCTATTTCTCAAGTAGAGGTTACTTCTGAAATTTGACTAATTGATTAAATCCAGTGATAGTCATGTGTTTCTCATTGTGTTATTAGTGTTTGCACCTACACCTACAATTTGGCCTTTAGATTAGTGAAGGTAGATGGGGAAGGTGAGTACCAGGCCAGTTCAGCCCCCTTCCCCCAATCTGTCTTTCAAGTAAGAGACAACAAAAACACCTTGGGCTACTGTGCCTGGGTGAGGCCGGAGTACAGCTCACAGCTGGCTCTCTCTTTCTACCATGTGGGGCCCAGGGATTGAACTCAAGTTTAACCACAAGTACCTTCACCCTCAGCCATCTTGATGGCCCTCACAAACTTTTTAATGATCTTAATTCTGATGATGAACATGAATGGGAACCTTAAAGCTTGATGACAAATGATTTAACTGGTTTGTCTTAGTCCCATAAATAATCAGTCATCAGTGACAAAATATCTTATCTCATATTGTCATAGAGCTTATGGAAGGTAGTGGAATTTGAGATTCTTTGGACTATTCTTTTAGAGCAATCTCCAGCTCTTAGAAGAGGCATGAGACTTCACCTGTAGTGTTTGCTTTGCTGAGTTAAGTGCTTACAAACCTATAGCCTGTGTGTTTTCTTCATATTCCTCAAGACTCTGTTTTGCCCTCCTTCCATCTTACAGTTATGTAAGACTTCAGCATTTGAATCGGATCGCAGTCCCATGGCTGGCTTTGTTTGGGAGGCGATGCCTAGAATGTTTTTACTGAAAGCCCGAGGAGAGCAAACGCTTTTCTTCCTAACTGGACCGGCTAGGTGCTGCATTGGCTCTGCCCTATTCTGCGTACTGTGGTTTTTATTTGATATGCTAACCTGAAATGTTATCTGCCTTTTATAGTTAATATGTTGAGAGTTAGAAGAATAGAAATGTACTTCATATACAGTGTTGAAAACCAGGTGTAATAAAAGTACAAGCTAGGTCAAAGTCTAGTTTACCTCACTCCCGCCATTATGCAATGAATTTCGGCCGTTTCTGATGTGCCACTTCCCTGTGCCCTCTCACCTTTCACCCTTCATCCGCTGGTAATTTGGGGGGGGGGTTGTTTGTTCATTTTCTTTTTTGTTGCTTTTTTTTTTTTGAACAGGATTTCTCTGTGTAGCCTTGGCTGTCATGGAACTCACTTTGTAGACCAGGCTGGCCTTGAACTCAAGAGATTTGCCTGTCTCTGCCTCTCTGGTGCTGAGATTAAAGCCCCCCTTTTTCTTTAAAGTTAACTGTAATATCTACTACTACATGCAGCCCTATAGGTAATACCCACCCCCCATTCAGACAGGGACTCACTGTGTAGAATTGCTAGCCTGGAACTCACTACGTACACCAGACTGGCCTTGAATTTACAGACTTACCTGATTCCGTCTCCCAGGTGCTAGAATTACTGGTATTCACTACCATGCCCAGCCCCTGTAGGTGATCTTATCATTTTAGTGAAACCAAGTTTGAAAAGAAT